AAAAAAAAAGTTAATTTGGAGTGAGTGATATCCAATCGAAGCATTTCGGCATATACCTCTGACGTGTGTAAAGCGTTAACCTTTCCCCCCTTTCCTACAAACACCACAAGAAACTACAAAACAAAAAGTCCACAAATTATTATTCTATTTAAACCAAAACAAAATTCTTCCTCCTTTTTTTTATGTGTATAATAACAATACTACCACCTCTGTTCAAGCCAAGGAGGGGAGGGAAATCTTCGGAACTCGGGAACCAACCAACCCCCACCACACCACCACCGCCCTCTCCTTCCTCCTCCTTTCTCCGCCCCCATTATAGAATAAAGCACTGTGGGAGCAGAGTTTAGACAGAATCTTCTTTCGTCATTCCTTTGCTTTATACCTACTCCATTATCTCTATGCTTTATTAACCATTTATTATTATATGGTCTTAACAGAAGCGCAGAGGAATAGTGGAAGCTGTGTTCATCGTCCTCTCCCTCTGTCCAGTGTGAGTCATGATGATGCCTATGTACCATCCCATTAAGGGATGTTCTGATGAAAATGACGACCCCAGAATGCCAGATCCCGCCGGCCTCCGCCTCCGTAAGGATCATGTCGAATCGGCTGCTATCCAGATCGCTGAACCAATAATATCCACAACCCTTGCTACTGATCAAATTCAACAACTCCATTCTCGTCTACCTTTGGACCAAAAGCAACAACAAAGGCAACGGCTTGCTTCCCTCGACGTTTTCCGTGGCCTCACCGTTGTCGTATGTCTTTTTCCCTTATTTTAGTCTCTAACCGTTAAATGTATTCCTTTTCTGGCCTCCCTTCCTTTACAAATGTGTTTATATTTCCTTTTTCAGGATGATAATCACTTAATTGTGTGGACATATTTGAGAGATTTCTTTTTCCTTTTTCCTTTCTTGTAGCTTTTCTGATATCAGTCAAGCAATGTTAGAATGATCACTCGAGGGTTTCGATGTGATGTGCCAAATTAAATTTTGGGTCTTTTTTACTTGTATGTATAATCTGGAATTGGGGGAAGAAAACTCAAATTTTGCATTTTTATACTTAGGTATTGTAAATAACCTTTTACCAATTATTATTATTTTTTATATTGTTGATTACCCATTTAAACATATAAACTTATTATATTATTCTGATCTTTTATGGATGCATCTCTTGGTATATCATGCATTGTATACCACATTGATTGTGCTTGAACAAATGAAAACATGTTTAATTCATTAAGTCTTTTCTATACTTTCCTTTTCATATTGGTAATCGCCAATACTCATTTTTAAATATCTAGAAAAGGAATACATTTCCTGAAAAACTCAATTGAATACATTTGTGTGCGTCTTGGGAAGGATATAAGGTGTGGGAAAGGAAAGGAATACAAGAAGTGTTAACTTGAATTTTCTAAATTTTTCATCTTTGAATGTTAAGTGATATGATTTAAGGTCCATTTTAGCATTGTAATAACTAATCTAAATAATCAACCTTCTCATTATTTGAGGATACCAGTAGTTCATTCTCTTTTATATAACTTCAGTTAGAGATTTTATTTCTGCTGCAGCTGATGATACTTGTGGATGATGTGGGTGGACTTCTGCCGGCTGTCAACCATTCTCCATGGGATGGTTTAACTCTTGCAGATTATGTCATGCCATTTTTCCTTTTCATTGTCGGTCTTTCACTAGCACTAACATACAAGGTATTTTTTTATGCAAAATGTCATTATTCAGAAGAAACTAACTGTACCAATGCTGTTATCTTTACTTCTTTATGCTACCTTTACTTCTTTAAGTCTATTAACTCTGATAGAACCCTGGACGTAGCCAGGGTGGTCATCTGGATTTAACCTTCTTCAGACATCCTTAGAAGTAAAAACGGAAAAAAAAATTAACATTACTTTTTCTGTACAGAAATTGTCATGTAGGGCCTCTGCCACTAGAAAAGCAGTACTTCGGGCGTTGAAGCTTCTGATATTTGGCCTTTTTTTGCAAGGTATCTGTCTCTCTCTCTCTCTCTCTGTGTATATGTGTGTGTATATGTGTGTGTTTGTGACTGGTAATCTAGACAACTACTAACATGCCAATCTTCATGGGTGTTTTACAAATGGCTTTCTAAATTCCCTGTAATTTCTGCCCAACTTACAGGAGGCTTTTTTCACGGGGTCAACAATTTAACATTTGGTGTTGATATTGAACAAATGAGATGGATGGGTATACTTCAGGTATCTTCCCTGCTGACACCCTTTATGGCCTTATGGTTTATGATTGTAAGTGGCCTGATGGATGGAGTTATTTTCGGGGCTTTTATTTCGTTCAGTATACATGGAAAGTTTAATGCAAATCTGTGCTTAGATGTGTATTTAATATGTTTAGGAGCAAATCTTTGCACTAGCCAATGGATATGACATTAATTGCTGAGATTTATGTTGTTAATTTCTAATGGTTTGCTTTTTTGTTTTCCTTCTCTCCCCCAGAGAATTGCAATAGCATATTTAGTTGTGGCTATGTGTGAGATTTGGTTAAAAGGTGATGATCATGCTGCATCAGAGTTATCTGTGTTGAAAAAATATCGATTTCAATGGTAAGCGGGGTGCTATTTTGACTTAGGATTGAAAATATGTTTTGATGATTGTGGTGCATTGTCTTCTTTGCTGATATATTCCAGCCATCTTAGTTAAAATGTGTATTTTAATGCTCTGTCTTTTTGCTTAGCTATTGTTCTCAACTATGAACTACAGTTGCATCCATGATTATTCTACATCGTTAACCTGACCTGTGAATTTTTCTTTAGGGATTGATTTCAAAGATTGAGAATGA